CAAGTACCTGGTGATTCTTAGTTATGTAGACATATTGAAGAGTGGAGCACTAAAAAACTCAGTATGATTTCTGGGTTCATTCACTGTTGGAATAATTGATTGGGGAACTCCAATGCCAGTTTTTATTACTAGTTTTTTTTTTTTTCTTTTTGGTGTATGTGTATGGTGCTGGGGGCTGAACCCAGGGCCTTGTGTACCAGTGCCTGGGTTTTTTGGTTTTTTAAAATCTCTTTGAATGGTCAGATATCTCAGAGACCATTCCAGTTCCTGACTCAGGGTATACATCTGGCTACTATGGTGTTGGAGACAAATCCAAGAAAAAAAGCAGGAAGTCTCCAATTAAATACATGGACACACTATTAACTCCACTCTTGGTACGTGGTGTTTCAAGTCTAGAGACACCAATTCACATTATCCAAAGAATAGTTCTCCAGTCAGGGGAGGGTTAGGGCAGTTTTCCAGAATGGATCTGGGATTCAAACTGCTTCTGGAAACAGACTTTTAATCAACAACCTAATTTGAGCCTATCAGCTCCATTTTCAGAAGTAACTGGTAGCATCAATTCTTGAACCTCTGTGGCACTGGATTCTGTGATATTATGGGTTCTCCCAATTGCTGGCATGAGATTCAGCCTTCTCACGCCTGGTAACTCAGCAGCCTCTATTCCATCAGCTTTCCAATTTCCAAAATATCATTGCTCATATATTTTCTCCTGTTCTTTTTGGCTTAGTGGGTTATCCATTTCAAAGACTCCCACAAATCATTTTAGTGTATTTCAAGAAGAGAAGAGGGTTAAATACGTGTGTTTAATCTGCTATCTCTAACCATTCTCTTTAAGCTCCTGCTTTCTGTGTTTAACATAGTAAAATAATCAAATACTCTTTGGACTAACAGTATAAAAATACTGTCTGAAAAGAAATCTTAATCCATGGGGAAAACTGACAGTTTCTTTGTGTCATTTATGATTGTCCACATCTCAATTCTCATTGCTACCTAGTACATATCTGTAGGCCTGGCTGTGACCAGAGGATTTATAATCTGTCCCTTTCAAGTATCTGTTTGACTGTTGATCCACAGTGAACAATGCACAAAGCCAGTCCAGGACCAAAGTATCTTAATTTCATTCACTGTCTCTTGAGCAGCTGACTACTTTCCATCTCAGATTATTCATGGAAGGTGAATCATTTGCATGTCCAGTATCTTAACACTGAAATGGTGAATTTCCAGTGAATACCTTTCTACTCTTCACTGTACACCAAGGATGTGCAAGGTGAGCTCTGTCTACTCAAATCCTGTGAAACCTGCAGATGGCAAAGACAAAATCTTCATGCACTCCCATCTTTAAGGCAGTGAGAATCTAGGCAAGCTATGTTTTAGGAGCTCCATCCCCAGTGGGGAGTAGAGTCTGTTGACTGAAATATGGTTTCAACATGAGACACACTCTATTGTAACCTTTGCTCATCTTTCCCTCAGTCTGCAATCAAAATCCCAGCATGCCTTGTGGCTCAGCTTAGAGACTCTAATTGGTCACAGTCAAGGAAAAGAAACTACTCTAGAATATTATATCTTTATTATATTTATTTATCAAGTCAGCTCTAATAATAATGTTTTATACATTATAGCTTATAAAGTACTTTCTACCTTTGCTGTCTTATTTTATCATTGAAATGATCTTGAGAAGTAGCATAAGTAGCATAACTTCACATATGAGAAAGTCAAAGCTCAGAGAACTAAGGCATCATATTCAAGATTGCTCAGTAAGGTGGTGGAAGAAGTGTCCCTTGAGCATAGGTCTTCAAAATTGCACTTAACTTTGATTTTCTGTTATATTCTTAGGTAAATATTCAATAGTTGGTAGCACTCAGTTCCATGCTATGGGGCGGGGTGAAACCAGGTACTTAGAATTTAAGCAACATATAATCTATGTGGATAAGGAGGCATACTACACTTTATAAAACCATCTAGGAAAATTGTGAGAGAGTACATAATTAGGGACTATGGTATAGCTTTTCTAGTCCAAAGGGACACTTTAATGCAACGAAGATCTGCTTTTAAGTGGCCCCCAAATTTTGTATAGTATGTCTCCATGTCCAGATGTTTCCTCTTGCATAGAAGTACGTTCTCTGAGTTCTTATTCCAATAATTTCATCTTTCTAATTCTGACACAAATGCTTCCTCCTCCTCAAAGCCTTCCCCGACCTCCTAGATAGAATTAGCCTATGTTCTCGATGGCGTCCTGCCTGTGTCTCTACTGTCTTGGAGCACACTTTGTGAGTTAAGGATGCTGGTTTGGGCAGAGGTGGGCAGGGTGAAGTGGACATATGGTGCCTTCCTCCTTTCCAGGCTGCAAGTTCCTGGCTCCATATCTCCAGCCTCCAGTGCTAGTACTGGCACGTGTTAAAGGTTTTTGCAATGAAAAAATAAATTAACGTTCTGAAAGGGAGGCCACAGCTTCCTAAGATGCCCAATGTTATCCCATAAGGGTCTTTCCTAAGCTTGAATCCTGGAATTTTGGAGGGAGGGCACCAGCAGTGAAGAAAATAGGTAGAAGGGAAGGAGGGGGCTGTACCAGCTGGTGCCTGAGGGTTGCTGACTTCACCCTCCTGCATCAGAACAGGAAGCCCCTGACAACAGTGGCCCCTCTGTCCTCTCATCCCCTCCCCACTTACTTGGCTTTGTTCACCATTTTCCATTTGTGCTGTGATTTCTTCCCAAGGGCTGCCTTTGGCATCACTACGAATCAGCTTCTCTCTGTGCATAAAAGCTGATGAAAGTGCGGAGGAGTAGAAGCCGCATTTATTAGGACTTTTCTGGGTGCTTCTCCTCTCCTCCAGGGCCTTTACCCTGGCATGCTGAAGGACAGACCCAGGTCTCTGAGGCCTCCCACCCTGGAGGTTTATTCTTTGCTTAGGCATTGGCCTCATCTGAGTCCGTGTTCACATGCAGGCGGTGTAAGACACAAGGGTTTGAGAAGATGTAAAAATCCCCAGTTTCTTTTCCCACGGTTTGACCTTAGGCCATTGAGCTAGCCCAACAGTGTTTCAGTTCACTCCTCTATAAAACTGAGTCTAATGACGCTTCGCCTAACTCGTGGAGGAGTGGCGAGGCTTAATTAACCAATGCTCATTTCTCTCAGCACTTTGGACGTCCTCCATGGGCACAAAATTATGTTATTACTTGGAATAATAATAATAGTTTCCCCTAATAATTCTGTGTTATTATTGCATTTAAGGAACTGTATTAGAGGCCTTCTGGAACTAGTTTAATACCTATAAATGTCTCTCCCTGGCAAAACAAGGGAGTATTGCCTGGTGATTATGGTTTGTCTTACATTTCAAAACTAGTCCGTTTAAACCCTCAGCAGAGTCCTTAAACCAGCGCCTGGCCAAGGGGGACCTCTTTTGATCTCTATCGCTGGACCACTGAAAGCACTTAACTTCAGCAAAGCAGCTTGGGTTCAAAAGCCTCTGAGTTGGCAACTCTAAAGGCCCAGCCTAAGAATGTGAACAGATAGGCGCAGAGGAAAGATAAGCAACCCACCTTCCTCCACAGCCAGAGCAAGGTGCTGGGGTCGCAGATACCATCACCCGTGCCCCCTATTTACTCCCACCAGTGTCCTCTGGCTCTTTGAGTCAAGTTTAAACTCCTCCCCAAGGCTTCCAGAACCCTCCAGCGCCTCAGTAGACACCCTCTCCTTGTCCTCTCTTCCCCCATTCTGATCTTAAAAAATTTTGTTTGTCATTGACAAAGAATAACTGTACATACTTATGGGTATGATGTGATATTATGGTACACATTTACACTGGGAAATGAACACATCCATCATCTCACGTGCTTGTCATTTCTTTGTGTGAGAGCATGTAAAATCTAGTCTTCCAGCGATTTTAAAAACACAGCCCCTCCCCTTAACTGCAGAGAATGCATTCCAAAACCCATCTGAGTGTCTAAAACCTTGGGTAGGACCAGATCCTATATGTACTCTGTTTTTTCCCCGTACATACACACTTAAAATTCCTCTTCCATCTTAATGAAGCTTTTATCATGTACTGTGTGGTTGTGACTCTTGCATTCTGAGGTGCAACAGCAAAATTTTATTTTTCTTTCATCACAGTCTCATGAATAGATTTGTTCTGGGCTGGGGATGTGGTTCAGAAGCAGAGAACTAGCGTGTCCAATGCCCCAGCTTTGAATCCCAGCCTACACACACACACCAATGTTTTCTGACTACAGATCTTAGCAATATCAGCAGGTGATTTTTTTTTTCTCCTGTCCTTATTGAGTACATTTACTCTTTCACGTAAAGAAAGCTCTTCATGGGTTCCCTTTGGCATATTGGAATTGGCAGGACCACTACTCTTGTGCTTTGGAGCCAACATGAAGTAAAGTAAGGGTCACTTGAACACAAGCACTGTGATACTCCAACAGTTTGCCTCATAACCAACACATTGACTAAGCAGCTCACAGGTGGGTAATATATAGAGTGTGGATATGCTGGACAGAGGGACAATTCATGTCCTGGTAGGGTGGACCAAGACAGTGCCAAGAGTTCATCATGCTACTCAGAACAGCTGGTAATTTTAAACTTGTGAATGGTTTATTTCTGGAATTTTGGACCTCTATTGACCATGAGTAACTGGTCATGGAAACTGAGTGCATGGAAAACAAACTGTGGATAAGGGCAAGACTACTGCACACTATCAACTAATGTCAACATGTGATGTAACAGGTCACCAGAACTCATTGATTCTGTCTCCATCTCGATCTATTATTTCTTCAAAGACACCAGATCTATGTTCTCATTGCCTTTACACACCCTGTTCCTGCCCAGCAAGCTCTTCTTCCTTGTCTTTATTTTCAGTTCTCAGGTAGATGTTGTCTCCTTCCAAAGTCTGGGCTGAGGCCCGTTTTAGGTGCACCCATAGCACACTGTGATTGTCCTCTGCATCAAAGCACATGGCAGACACTCATGCTTGCTGTTTCCTTTCAGGCTTGCCCATGCACCTCTGTCCTTGGGGCATAATCCATGCTAGTCATGTGTACTGGGTTTGTACACACTAGGTGCTTACTCAATGTTTGCTGAACAGAAGAATATCATTTGCTTCTCTTTTTGCTTATATCCAGTTCTCTCATATTCTATACCTCTATCCCAATGCTAATCTTTCCTTACCTTTAACTTTAGCAAAGCAGCTTTTTTTCAATGCCTATCAGCTGACAATTCTAAAGATTCAACCTATAAAGCCTAAGAGATAGGCACAGAGGAAAGATAAGCACCCCAACCCCCACAGCCAGAGCATGGTGCCTTCTACACCAACCACAGGTGAGTGAATTGGATGAAGAAGGGAGAAAAGAGAGAAGTAGATTCCTGAAGGGAGATAAATATAATGCAGACCCTGGGGATTAGAAACAAGGGAAAGTGAGAAAGGAAGAAGAATATCTGGAGGGGAAGATCTGAAATGAAAGCAGGGAAGAGTGTAGGAATTTTAATATGCTAAAATTCTGAAAATAAAATCATCCTTAAGTTATACTTTTTAGGAATCTTCCTTGTAAAAGAAGTGGGGTAGAAAGGAGAAGCCTGTTAGTATTCTTTATGTACATTATCTCCTTAGTCCTTGTACTCACCCTATTTGACAGGAATTTGAGCCATATTTTACACAAGACAGGGAAGCTCAGAAAGGTGGAGCACCTTGCTCAAGGTCACACACTTTGCTTCATTAGAAGTACAGGATGACTGTTCCACTGGTAGAATGTCCTTCTTTTGGGATTCTGGAATCCTTAAAGATCCTATTTCTTTGGGATGTAGGGGAGAAATGTGTTATCTAATAACTGAGAACAAAAGTAACTTAGCATCCTGTTGGTTGTTAAATGCTGCACCGTAAAGAGTGATTCCTTGCTTTTTTATGAAAAAAAATTCCTACTTACTCTCATCAGAAGAAAAGTGAGTTGAACTGACTTTGCTTGGCTGTTGGTTTGTCTTTCCTATGATTGGCAGGTGTCCCAGAGTACTGTGTATATAGGCCCAGCAAGAAAGTTGCTAAGTCCTTGTTGCTGCAATATTTTCCATCAAGGTCTGGGCCAGGCAGACAAAATTGTGCTTATGGACTTCAGCAAACTCAGCACAAGGAAGGCCAGTGGGCATGCTGAAGAACTGCCTCTCCAACATCTTGTCCTCTCCTACAGACTCAGTGACACCAATAAGTAGATTCTTGAAGTCCTGTGCATTTGACATCTAAATAACTTGGTCTCACTCTCTGGTTTTCTGTATCTAAATTTCCCCTCCCTTTGGGGCATGAGATTTAAAAGAAGGCTCTTGAGCAGAGCAAGCAACAGTCTCGTCTTTGATTTATGCTATTACTGGAACTGTAGTCCTTGAAAGCAATTCCGTCACTACTGTAATGAGGACGGAGCTTCCGTTAACTAATAAATCCTTCAGGAGTGTGTTTCGATGCTGTTGAACTTTTCATTAAACCATGATGTACAAGAAGGAAGAAAGATTTTAAAATAACATGATGCAGACACACATCCACGGTGGAATTAGTCAAGGCCTAGGAACATCATGTGTAAGACAGCCTATTTGACAATCAGTAATAACACATTTCTCCTGCAAATACCAGGTAACTTGGCCTTTCTTCATTCCTGGGCCTGTCTTTGTACAGGGAAGGGAGAGAACTAAAACCTATCTGTGATTCAATCAGAAAATGCAAATGAGGTCAAGTTTCTTACAGGCTTGTGAGATTTCCCTAGAGAAATTTCCCCAGCGTCTCCTCTGCTGCTGGTGCCCTTCCGAGGCTAGGGCTTGTCTGTGGAGTGAGAGGAACACAGGGCAGGCCCCCTCCTTTTCTCCTTGGACCTCCAGCTGGATGGGCTGTTGAATTCCATGAAGGGGCTCCCTAGAGACCATCACCTAGGAACTGAAGTCAAATCCAGACACACACACAAAAGGGTTGCCTTAGGTGGGTAGACCTGGTGGCCTGCCTCTCTGCCCTGCGTAAAGACCCTGAATCCAAATCAGGCAGGAGGGACACTGCTTAGGCAAATCCTCTTGGAGAAGGGATCCTGGGACCATCCCTCCAGTTTCTGGGACCAGTGAGTGATTCCACCCCTGCAAGTACCCCAGGGAAACCTGTAAGGAAATCTCCCTCACAGGGCCCTTCCCTCCCACAGTCCACCTAGAAGTGTGTGTATGTGTATATAGGGGTGTGTGTGGGCATGTACACGTGGGCCTCCCCTGGGCCACAGAAGCCTGAAGCCTACCCTAGCATCTTGCGATTGGGAAACTAGCAGTTTGGAACAAGCTGACAAGTGATACTGCAAGTCAGGACGCTTGGCCCCACCTTCCAGCAACCTGAGGGTGGTTCAGGGAATTTATAGGGTTTCTTTTGCTCGGCACAGGTTCTAGCATGTTTTGAAAGTTGCTTTTTTAAAATCCAGAGATACATTAACACTGCTTATTAAAGCTATATGCAAGTTCCCTTAAATTTTAAATGACTGGGCAGTATCAGGATCTGCCTTTCCAGGGGCTGAGAGAAGGAAGGAAGATACAGGACACCTCTATCCCCACCCCCACAGCTCTCAGTGTGCCAGGTCTTAGAGCAGACGACCCTTGATTATACATCTCACATGTGGGAAAGGTTGGTGAGAAAGAGACTGAGTTATGTGAAAGGGGTTCTGATTTGATGTCAAAATGGGTATATTTGCTTTCCTGTAAATTTTTAACCATTATTTTTAAGTGAAATGTTACCTTCTTGGCCTGTAGCTTTCACATTGAGAATGAAGACAGAGAGGGTGGGGGTGGAGGTAGCAGGTGTATGGGTCTTACAGGAAACATGGGGGATAACAACACAGATTTCCCCTAAACTGTGCAAACTGCAAATCGGGAGGTTCCGACTTATTTATCAATCGACCTAGTCTCAGTTTTTCATTACTGAGCTTCTCTCCAGCACAGTGTCTCTCAAAGCACAGTCACATGCTTCAGATCTTAAACTACCAGGGAAGCTTATTGAAATGCAGATACCCAAGTCCTGCCTTGAAGGATTCTGGGTGTCATCCAGAGATCTGTACAGAAGGAGGTTGATCTCTGATCCCCAAACCCCACCCCACTCCTCCCCACCCCAGCTCTGGCTATTCTATGATTCTAGATTCTCTGGAAAGGAGCACCATCAGGAACTGGGGCTGTCCCACTGCCAGAATACACATCACCTCTGCCAGGTGTCACCAATTACCTAGGACCTCTGCCAAGACTGGCTCCTCCCGCTGGTTGACAGTTAGTTGTATAGGGTTCCATCTTCCATTGAGGACGCCATTAGTTCCTCTGGGCTTTCTGATTGCCGGCTGTGGTATGTTGTCCTTGGTGGCAGCCTTTTTCTGTCTCTCTGCTGTCTGACCATCCCTTTCAGTCCTGTCTCTGGCCTCTGCAGTTGCAGACAGGGGCTCTTGGCTCCTGTGCTCCACGCTGGGTCCACTCCATGTACTGCCCATTTCTTGGTACCTGTGGACCTCAAAGTCTTCAACCCTCCAGGAGGCGGGGGGCTCCCCTCTAGCCTTCTACTTCTTTCCCTTACCACCCAAAGTGGTCCAAAGACTTCCCTTTCACATGAATGTGACTGGTAAGTCAGCATGCACCATGTTTACCTCCTGTTCCTAAAATAATGGCTCCCTCCTCTGCATTCCCCAAAGGCTTGGAACAGAGATTGCTTCGCATCATATTCTAATGATCTGCATTCATCTCTCCTCCCTGCCTAGGTTGCAAGTCTATGACGCCAAGAACTGTGTCTTACTCATCTTTGCATCCCTAGCAACCAGTGTGGGGCCTGATGATACTGGTACAAACATTCACTGAGTGCTTACTATTTGGCAGGCACAGGGCTTGGGGCAATATGCCACTTTATGCAATATGTACTGCACCACTTTATCCTTCCAACAACCCCACAAGAACTGTGCTTTTATCAGTCCCATTTGAATAGATGAGGGCAGTGAGGCCAAAGCATTTAGGTAACTTGATTCATCGTGTATCTAGTAAGTGGTCAGTTTAGGATTGGAATCAGCCAGCTGGGATTCCAGAGCCTTATATGAAGAGTTCAATTAAGGTTTGCTGAATAAATAAAGGGCATATAAACAAATTAATGTGTGGCAATATCCATAGAAGCACTACATTTTAGAGCAAAAGGAAGCATAGAGACCATTTATTCCAAGCCCTGATTTTGTTTTGGGGGAAACTGAGGATCTAAGCAGCAAAATGAGTGGTGGTAAACAATACAGCAGGTGGGAGCCCTGGTGTGGAAGAGATAGCCTGAGTCAGAACACAGATGGCTCTGTCACCTACCACCAGCCTGGGAAAGTCACTTAGCCTAGCCTCTTTCTCCCTTAGTTTCTTCATCTGTTAAATGGGACTTGTAATAGGAGTCTTCTCACTGTTTTATTGTTAAAATTAAATAAGATAATAAAAATCTCTTAGAATAGTGCCTCACATGAAACAATGCCCTTTAAATGACACCTATTGTTATTGACAGAATCAAGGCAATTGGGGCTTCAAAACAGTCTTTGAAATCATAAACCCAATTCTTATTTTATCAAGGAGGAAACTGGAGTTTAGTTTCATTTTTATTTCCAGGACTGGAATTACCAGATTTGGCCGTTTTAAAAGAAACATGGTGACCTTCTCATTCAATAGCTCCACTTAGCAAACCAGGAAGCTGTAGTCCAAGGAATCAGATGACTTGCCAAGATCTCTGCCGCATCTGAGCAGAGCTGGGAGTGGACTTGGGCCTCCTGATTTCAGCTACACCACCACAGGCCCATTCGTCAGCCTGCTCCACATCACCCTCTTGTCCCAGGCTCCTAGGTAGGAACAGAGAGTCCAACTATCTGTGATTTAAATTCAGTAGAAACATTCCATGCTGGAGCTCAAATTCAAGGCAAGCAGGTCCATCAAGATCCAGTTCTTTCATATGACAGGTGGGTAGAATTACAGAATCACATTGCAACCAAGGATTTGTGAGATCCACCCTGGAAGATGACAGAATTCCCCCCACGAGTCTGTTTGGTAAGCACATAAATCAGCATTTGGGTGGCACACCACCCAAGGTCTACACTAGCCAGCACTCAGCAATCAACACCAACCCTCCCTGGCACATTGGTGTTTTATTTTTTTTAACCCCCCCACCAGCATTAGGCGCTTCTAGAAATGCTGATGCCCCAGCCATAGCCCAGATTAACATAAGCAAAATCTTTAGAAGTGGAGCCAGGCAACAGTATTTTTTTTAAAGCCCCTAAGTGAATCTAATGTGCCACAAGATAAGAGAAACGTCTTCCACCCAAACTGGCAGCATCACATGGGAATTTGTTGGAAATCCGAATTCTATGTTTGGTAATCTCTGTTATTTTCTCTCATGGTTCTCTATTGCTAGTTTCCATAACATTCAGCAAGACATAAAATTATTTATTTATTCACTTAATGTCCTTCACCTGCCCTGTCCTCAGATGGTAGGCTTCACGAATAGAGACTATGGCTGTTGTATTACTCACAGCGCCATGCCTGGCACAAAGTAGACACTCAATGAATATATTCAATGAATGAATGATGCATGCATACTAGCCATCTTAGGCAAGGCAGATATATTATCAAATTTTCCATTATTCCAGAATTCATTCATTGCTGTGGCCTTATGAAGAGAAACCTTATGCATATGTAATACATGCTTTATCTTTCCTCCAAAATAAGGAAGTTTAGATCAATGCAGTAAGTAACTGATTTATTTATTTATTTTTCGACAACCACCAGAATAAGGAAAAGAAAAAAAAAAAGTAACAGCAAATAACGACAAAAGAAAAAGCCAATGAAACAACCTCGGCCAAAAGAGTGGTTTTGCCTAAAATACTACTATTCTTTAGGTTGAGTCTCTAAATATTTATTGAATGAAGACTGGGGGAGCCCAGAATATTAATAGGCCCTTTGTGAGAAATAATGAAGTTGAAGACAAGGTTCATGGCCTTAAATTTATTGGGAAACAGTTCATGGAATTCTAAGAAGGACACCATAAGTAGGTTGTGAGGCGTTATTTCTAACAGGTAGGTCTGTTGGATGCTCACATGTGAGTGTTGGTCAGATTGGTTTTCCTAATTTTGGTTCAGGGAGACACAAGGAAGAGATTGCAGAGGAGAGTACATTATGAGTTGGCATAACCAAAGGGGTCTTTTTGGAAAAGGAAGAAGTCTGGGACTTACAAATATTTTTAACTCAACTAAGCTTTTGGAAGTTGATGTGGTCAACATTTTCCCCTAGCCCTGGTGTGGAGAACAGCCTTAATCTATGAAGTCAAGACAAACTTTGTTCTTGGATGTGATTTGGGGGTTCAAATAAGGAGACACAATTGTCTCTGTGAGCTATAAATATAGCTTTGTTGACAGAGGCCAACTGGCTCTTTTCATAGACATCTTCCCTTGTAAA